TTTTAACGCTCTTTCTATTATTAATCAGAATTTATTAGAAATTACAAATTTTAGCGTGGCTCACTTTTGAATCAAGAGAGACTCAAACAAGTAAAACGGACTAAAATTTGTGATTTCTAAATTTTTTTAAATAATAATATAAAGAGTGTTGAAAAGGGTGTTACCTGCATTCATATCATGATGTATGATCAAAGGTGATAAGCTCTCTGAGGCTTGGGTAACATATGTTTAATGAGGCAATCAATCTCGTTCCTATCCTTTATAATTTTTTATTATATTGTTACTCATATAAAGCCTTTTTTGATGGGAGGGTTCTTTATTTGTATTTGGTAGTGTTTCTTTCTGCCAAGTTGGTCTTCGGTTGTTACTGACTTAACAAAAAAGAGTGTGAACGGGGAAGCTTATTCAGTGTCCAAATGGACTGCTTTGGTGCATTGCCTTTATTCTTCTTGTCTTTGTGTGCGCAGCAGATCTCTGAAAGCTTTAGGATTTGTTGTAACATCGAGGATGATATGGTAGCTAGTTCGTTTCATGTTGAAGAAAATATGCAGTACTAGTAGTACAATATTATTTTTATTTCTATGTTTGTAGAGTTCACTATTTGTCATTCACTATTCATGTGCTGACTCATTGTAACTTGTTAGAAATTTAAGTAATACTTTCCATGAGACGTAAAATTTTCGTGGACTTCAATTATCCAGAGATTGAATTGCATTATGAATATTTGATGAATTTTAATTAGGGTGCTTATATTATTAATTAAAAATCAAAATCATAATTTTTAGCATAAAATAAAATTCATAATTAAACATTAAAAAAAGTATAATCATAATTAAAATATTACCTAAACAATTTTTCAAAAATGTAGGTATTATAGTAAACAAGAGCCTACCTACACCAATGATAAATACATAATGGCAAAAGTAACATAATAAAACACTATAAAAATTAAATAACTAAACTTAATTTGAAATTATCAAATCTTACAATTATACCTCCACATTTTCAACATCAAATTTAAATAACATAATTAAGCTAAAGAATATAATAACAAGTTTGAGAATTTAAAAGAGATAGAATAACATAAACAATATCAAAAGTCTCATATATTCGGGATTTGCACACGGACATCAATCCAAAACGGATATTTTAAGGAAGATATATACAAATAATGCATATAATATCAATTAAGAAATGTTATTTATAAATGATAAAATATTTAAGTTATTATATATTGTTCAATAATATTTTTTTAAAAAAATTATCTAGGAAAAATTAAATAATATTAAATTACATAAAAATATTTAAAAAGTATTACATATGTCAAAACACTCAATATAATAATAAATACATCATCCGGTTATATAAAACATATGTTAACTTTTTTAGGAAGAATCTAATTAGCAACCAAAAGAAGTGAAAAAAGTTATAAAAAAAAATCTTTCAAAAGGAAAAAATAGCTAATAAGTGTTTCTAGAAAATAGTATAAAATAAAATAAAATGCACATAATAAATAACTATAGGTGAGACTCGCGATGAAATACTAACAAAAAAAAAGTTACTTTTAAGCTCTGAGTTAATTTTTTTAAAAGTTTTTTTTTTATTTCTTCACAAATTATAAGCTACTTATTTTTAAGGACTTCTATACCAATATATTTTACTCTGCTTTTACATATAAATAAAAACTATGCTACAAATAAGAGAGTTAAACAAAACCTATGCATAATTTATTATCCAATATTTTTTATTCAATAAATATTAATATACATATATACAATATAAAATAAATAATAATGTTAATATATTATTATTTAATATATTTTCATGCAATAAATAATATAAATTTTATAATATTAGAATAAGTATAACTTAAGTGGCGCATTAAAAAAAAGAAAAACAGAGTTAAATAGGAAATTAATAGAAGATAAAAGTGATTGTATTTTTATATTTGTTGCATACATTAAATAATAAATTAAATTATTTATTTACTAAAGATATTATATTTATTAAATTAAATTTATTAATTCTAAACCATATTTAACATTAAATAAAAATAAAAAATAGTAATCATGCATGTGTAATAATAGTGTTCATATTAGAACCTAAAAATATATAGATAACTTAGTAGTTTAAATAGTAAAATTTATAGTGAGGTTCATTTATCATTTTGTAAAGTTTGTTTTTTCTTCATGAATTCATATCAATAATACCACGTGGGTTATCACATCACCAGCAAAGTGTCACATTATGAATTCATGTTAACAATAAAATGCCATGTCATCGTAAATTAATGATCGACTAATAAGTTAACATGTCATATTATCAACTAATGATTAATTATCAAATGAGACTAAAATTACATATTTTTAAATATTGGTGACTAGAATTAGGGGACTAAATGTTTGACAGTGAGGTAAAAAGGTTATTTGTGGATGATTTCATTGATTTGTGAATGAATGGTGTTTTTGTGTTTTTTTCCTTCATTGTTGAATAAATGGTGATAGTTTGGTTTGACCAAAAACACCAAGTCAAGAAATTTGAGTTCGAAGAAATAAATATAAAAGACACCAAACCAACTTGGCCCAAAATTGAGGGAATAAGTCAGTACTATTTTAGGCCTAACCCGAACTGGCTTGACCCGTGTTTAGCCTTATTCTTTAGCACAAAGAAACTCAAATTTTATGGAATTAAAATTAAAAATTAATAAGTAATTATTTCTTCAAAGGCAGACCTATATCATTTGAAATGTTTCAAGTCTTGTTTACCCATTGAACCAAAATAAAGAGAATGATAATTCCTAGTTATCCAAAAAAAAAAAAATCCTTACAAAGGGGTGTAAAATATGATTCATGATTTTACAAAATCAAAACTTCCAAGAAAATGGTTTACGTAACCTCAACACATTTTATGTTAAACAGAGTGTTTATGGCAAAGAATTCTATCCAGGAATTTTTCCAATCCTATCTTTCCATCGTACCCAGTTTCCAGAAAAATAAATTTTGGACGAACAAACTATGAATACACTATCCTCGTCATCCAAGATTTTCAAAAGCAAATGGATAAATCCGTTTTTAACTTTATATCTATTAAGCAATGTTTCAACAGTCTAATAATAATAGTAATAAATTATATAAAAAAAAGTTACTGACGTATTTGAACACAGCACCCTGCTCCCAGAAGTTTATTCTAGATCCCCTCTAAGGAAGCTATTAACATCGGGACTACGAGCTCGTACATAGAAGCTTTCAGTTAGCAGGCTCGTATTTGCAAATACAGTCGTATAAGTTTCCTTTAATCAACTTTTCAGCCAATCTCTGGTTTTTCACCATTGCAAGCTACCAAAAATATATAAGAACAACAATCTTAGAGAAAGCATTAACTCAGCAACTATACACTGAAACACAGCGATGAAACTATCAAATTAAAATTCAGCTGACTGGGACAATATCTTTAAAGTAATATAAATCAGGTGATCTTACCTTCAAAGCATCACACCGAAACCTGGCATTTAGGTTGGTATGAAGAGCTCTTCCCATCCCTTCCAAAATTATCTGTCCAATAAAGAAGGCTTAATTAGAATGTGTTCCTTGATTTTATTAAATCTATAGTATATTAGTAAATAAACAGAATTGTTCTCTCACCAAATCGGCATCTTTTGCAGCAGCAGCCAGCTCAGAGCTGACCTGTCTCAAGTCTATACATGGACTACCACACCCATTCTCAACAACCATCAAAGGAACCGAAGATGAATTTTCTTTAGAACTGTCATAGGTATTGGTCATTGCATCAACAAGCAAGCCTCCAGATTCAGCAGCTCGCCTAAGAATGTCACAGTGCTGTAAGATAGAAGAATTAGTTTCACTTTTAAAATTAATGCATCAGCATCATGGATACTATGGTCGTGGTGAAACAAAAACTTGACATAAACTGTAAGGTCGATGATGACAGGATCTTCCCAACAACACTTTTAATGAGATATCACAACGATACTTTTTTTTACCAATGATATTGATAGATAAACAGATATTTGACAATGAACAAATGTTCTTCAACCATTCTCATTGAAATCATCGTGAATGTTAGCCTACTTGATCATTCAAATTGTAAAGGAAGGTCTAACACAAGAAAAGAAATAAAATTTCATTTTATAAATTTTTACAGTTGTTTATTTGGACTTTAGAATATGATACAAACCAGAAAGACAATTCACACAATTATAACAGTAAATGGATGAGAAAGGATGAGTAATATGTATTATTGGTGATAATGACATAAAATGCAATAGAGAAATCCCTACTGCCCGCAAAGCTCAGCTCCTAACTCAGAGAAATGGTATTTTTCTCTGCCCTCTTACAATCTGATTCCTCTCCTCCCTTCCTTGCTCTCCCCGATCTCCCAGATAACCAATGTCCTTCACATCATCCTTCCCTCATTTCCTCTCTCCTCCACCTCATCATTCCTAACAGAGTTCCTATTCCTCCTCACATACACTTTCCACACTTCGGACCTGTTCATTTGGGTCTACCTATTGTTGGAGGGCCTATCAGAATACAAAGAATTAAAGGGAAGGTCATGAAGTGAAGAAGAAAATTATTCAAATAAAATATGGGCAGTGATACAAATACAGAGATTTTCATAGAGTGCAAGACAGTAGGAAAGAGTTTTACATGACACATGGCATGCCAAATTGTGCAAGGAGATTTCTTTACTAGGAATTTAGCAAGCATGGAATTTTACCTCAAGGAAAACAAAAAGAGAGTCAACAGATTGATGGTAAAGATATTCAGATGAATATTACAAAGGGGGCTGATAGATCTCAACTAGGTATTAAGGAAGATTTTGAAAGAAACAAAAGACTGTTGTAAAATTGTTTTTGAACCCTTGCTGGTCAACGCAAACCAGAAGGGAAGAATACAGTGATACAGGGCAAATTCGAGAGTGCCTATCTCTCCAGAATTATTCCACTATTTTCCTACCTACTTCTATGATTTTCTCATATTTATACAATTTAACTGCCTCCACAGAACAGCTATCAGTTAGTTAACATAATAACTAACTGTCCCCCTTTTCCTCCTAACATAGACCCTCTTAACTATGGGCCCCTATCAGGGGCTCTCTGACATAAAAAAAACAATATTCCAGAGACCAACAAATTAAAGTTAATGAAAATACACAAACCTTGGCAGCCTCAGCAACAATGTCTGGAAGCTCCATTGCAGTCACATCATTCAAAGCAGGAAGTGAGTTTGCAACCAGGACCACCTGCACTCATCCATTATTATCATATTCATACTACACAAGTCATAGGCATAGCATCAATTATATGGATGCTGATCCATCTCTTTCTTGGATGACTGCATATACTTTCCTATCAACAGAACAATCATAATTCTAAAACATCTATACTCAAATCAAATAACCTCCTATGCAAAAATTCAATCCAAGATAGAAACATCAAATACTCTTCAATAAAGTAAGTAAACTCACTTCAGTTCCACGTCGGAGGAGCTCTCGTGCCAGGGGAAGCATCCCCAAAACAATATCAGCACCTGAATTGTCCACAAAAAGTAAAGCTCTTCTATGTGGAGGTGGTTTTTTGTCCCCAGTTCCTAGCATTCTCTCTTTAAAGGCATCAAAATCATCCACCTAGGTGACAAAAGATTAGTTTGTTATTCAACAATCAACCATAATAAATATATGTTGTATTCCACCTACTCGCCAAGGTCTCTGCATTTTATTGCGACTCATTCTGTAAATTTCAATAATAGTTCCTTTATGATAGAGATCCACACAAGCACGAGATCCCCAATCAAAAATGTTTGCAGCAAGAACACCTTCAATTAGGGTAAGTAGTCTTGTCTCCTGAAACAAATGAGGCTTTTAGATTACTGGACATGATTTATGAGAATCTAGGGTGGCTAGGGGTGCTAGGAACCAAAAGAAAGGACTACTGACAGACTGAATTTAGACTCTGCATGGCATCAAAATGACAAAATGAAACTCATTGTTACATTATAACTTCTACCCTTTGTACATCAAACATATATTGACTTGAAAAGAGATTAATGTATTAGTTGCATATATCATCCCATGTACTACACGAGAAGGAACAAATATTGACTCCTACCACCATATTAAATTCAGAGGATTTTAGTAGTAATAAGGCATACCTCATCCAAACTATCAAGCTCCATCAACAAATCAGGTAAGACAGCAAGCGATGCCTCGTTTTCCCTGATAGATAAGGAGATATAAACACAAATATTAAATTTAAAAGTAAAAAAAAATAAGGACATTGTGTGGAGAATTAGATCTGAAGATGACATGAACTATGTTCGCAACTTCACATTAATATCAGCATTCTTCTTTTTGTTTTTAGATTTGAGTTGCGCATCTTTTAAGATGCAGCTACTAAAGTCTTTTCCTGATAGGCGAGGTCAGCTACATGGGTCAGAAGATACCATTGTTTTCTTTCATGAACTAAATCCTTCGCAAGTCCATTTATATAAAATATTAACATTAAAAAAATCCAGGTTTTCATGTCAGTTCTAATCCTGATGGGTATGATCAGGGTTTGGGTAATGAAAGACTAGTAACTCTTAACAATTTTTTTGGGAAAACTAAAATGAGCAAAATCCTAACAAACAAAACCCAATAAGGGAAGTTCTTTTAATTAAGAAAATTAAGAGAATGTACGGATTACAGAAGTGAAAGAAAGGGGGATAATGAGGCCACCAAGATCAACCAAAATAAGGATATTTAGATTTCCAAATGTTTTTATAGGGTTTAGGAGATTCACATTTTCAAATGGGCATGCCCCCTGATGTTATTGCTATTGATCACTGTTGAAAAGATGCCTTAATTGCAGTTATCCGTGGCCTACCTTATTTGGAGGGGTGTGCAAAAAATCAAACCGAATTATAATAACCGCACCTTTTTGAGAAATAAAAAAAATGAAGCAAACTAAAACTGAACCATTTTTATAAAGAGATTTGGTTCGGTTTGTTTCTTTGAAAAACCCGAACCATGTATGAGTATAAATGGATAGCCAAACGGCCAAACCAATTCTAAAAAATTTATTTTTGAAAAAAAAAACGAATAAACCAATTCACTTTATAAAAATTGGCTTGGTTAACCGAGTTGCATTTATAAAATTGTTTGGTTCGGTTTAATTCAATTCAGTTTGGTTTTTTCAAAACAAAAAACTGTGCATGCCCCTACTTAGTTGCAGCCTCAAGGGTGGTAGTTTAGTCCCACATCGACTAAAGATATAGCTTAAATGGAGCTTCTAAAGCTTGGACAATCCTTACTTAATGAGCCAATTTTGTGGGGTAGAAAACTTTAATCCCAAATTCTAAGTAGCACTATGATTTTGATTTTCAGGTGGGTTTGTCAAGAAGAGATGTCTCCCAACTGGGAGAACGAGTAAGAAACAGAAAGTAAAAGAATAAGCACGCCAGAAGAGTTAAGAGCCCTTATTCTCCCCACTTTTTTCTAAATATATTGTAGAAATTAAAATTTTAACAGTGTCTCAGATAACTATTTGATAACATATCCAGTGAAACATGCATTCTGCATATGTTTCAGAGTGTCAGAATAATGCATTGCATCCTGTCACAATTGACCAACTTCTCTTGATCTAAGTAATTGCTTTTGTGGAATTTGCACTTGTAATATAGACATATAGTGGCTTTTACATCCAGAGTCCAAGTCAAGATCACATCTATATGGCTCAATGAAGATAAAACATAATGAGAAAGGCTAGTACATAGTAAGAACCTTTCTAAAACACTTTCCAACAAACTATTACCGGGTGAAATATATGTAGGTCCCACTAAATGATGTGAGCTGCACTCCTTATTTGATGGAAACTACAAGTATTTCATCCAATAAAACAAAGTGTTGGAAAGAGT